AAAATCTATGGGGGTGGGGGAGGCACTTACCTTCATTTCTCCATCTATTCTAGGGGAGATGATTGATAAGAATGTTCATCTCCTTCTCTCCCTGGAAAGGCTCAGGGATTTAACTAACGAAGATTTAGAAAGCATTTTGTGTTTCCCTCCATGGGAAAGTACTGTAATAAAGCATTTATTATATATACTGGGTTGTGCGTGTTACCATACCAAAGCAAGTTAAGCATAACTATAATGGGTCCCCATTGTTATCTGCTATTGTTTAAAAGTGAAAACAATGTAAGAGTAAGACTAGCTTTGGCCTCAGACTTGCCTGTCAGCGTGGAGGTAGAGGGCCATCACACACAGAGGGCACAGAGCACGGAGCGCCATTTCCGTGGGCCCTGATGTCAGGCAGCCTGGCTGCGGGGCCCAGACCCGCTGTTTACCGGCTGGGTGTTCTTGAGGAGATTATGGGGCTGCTCTGAATTTTATTTTTCCTCTCTACAAAGTGGGAATATTTTCAGTTCCTATACTCCTGGGGTTGTCAGAAGGAATAAATGAGATGAGTCCATGAAAAATCTCTTAGTACAGCTCTTTCCCTTAATAAGGACTGTTGGCTTGATGGTTTAGAGGCGACTTTGGAGCCAATTTATCTGGGTTTAAATCTGAGATCTGCTAATCTCTAGAGGTAATGCCCCAGAGGAAATTGCTCATCTTCTCATCTGTAAAATAGTATTGTCTACATAGGATGGTTTTGAGAACTAAAGTTATTATGTGAGCAGAATTTAGTACATAGTAATCACTCAATAAATGTTGGCTTTTTTTTCCTTGAGATTGTATTTAAGCCCACCTTTTTCATTCTCAATTATCTTTACCAATATGTATCAAGAACATTCTTGCCTTTCCATGACATTGAGTCTTTTTTATTTTCTTATGTACTCATGGCTGCATTACCCTGAATCCTTTGCTAGGCATTCTTCATCAAAGCTTGTCTGAACCACGGCCCGTTTCTTGCTTACAAATATATGGTGCCTCTTTGATTCTGTGCATGTGTGCATGCATGCAGTAGGTACCCAAGACAATTAATTTTAAAAAAATGAAACTTTGGTGATTTCCTTGTTTTTCCAGTATCTCTTCTCCTTGTGTTTCTTAGGAACAGGGGCAAGTGTTTGTGTTAAACTCCTAAATTCAAAACCATCCTGAAACTCCCTTGTCTAATTTAACTAAAGGTAATTTAACCTTCCAGTAATTTCCCTGACAGAGACTGAGTTCTGCCTATTCCCTGGATCAGACACTGCTAATTTTATTCACCTGAACCCAACAGCAGCACATATATTCAAGAACACAAATGCTGGAGAAGAATGTAGAGAGTATGAAACCATTTTAGGAAGTGTGTGCCTCTAAATAAGTAAGAGAAGTGGAAGATTAGGTCTAGAATAGAAGACTCCAGAGAGATTCTGTAGCTTCTGTAAGGAATTAAGAACCTTTCATACATGAAGACTGGCCACTAGATTTTCAGCATACCTAAAGAAAGCCTAGCTATCCCCATATCTGAAATCCTTTTTTACATATTTTGGGCTGTAGTTTTATCACTGGCTTTATTTGATTATTTCTACTAAAATATATCCACATTGTTCATTGCCTTTCCATGATTTCCTCTGTGAAAATTCCTTTAAAAAAATCTACCAAAAGGTACCTCAGTTCTTTACCCATAAAGAAGGGGAGGTGATGGATGCTGTGCCCGTCCACAAATATTTGTGTCCCCAGTAAAATATTAACATTGGTAGTCAACATTTTTGAGTAGCTACCTCATACCAGGCATTGTATTAAGTGTTTTGAATATACTGTTTGATCTTATCTTCACAACTACCCTGTAGGAGATACTTTTAGTCTATTGACAAAGAATCAGAGACCTGGACAAAGTTTTTCCTGCTTCCCTAATCTATCTCCAATCAATTTCATGTAACCCCCCTCATGCCTCCCCCTCATGCAATGGAAGGTGCAAAACTGCCATTCTCTGAAGCATTTTCTCAATCCCTTGAGATTTTGCTTCCTGGAAATTGTCATCTATTTGGCTCGAATTAAGTCATTAAATTCTTTAAAAAAATAAATAAAAATAAATTCTATTCATCTTAAACAAAGCTCTACAGCGGAGGGGGAAAAGATGAAGTTTATCTCTTTAGTCTTTCTTTTTGCTTTTAAAAAATGTGTGACTAGAAAAGTATCAAAAGAGAAAGAGACATTATAGTTGCTGAGGTTTTCTTGCCAAGAAAAGCACCCTGTTCTTGGGGTCATGCGTAGGAGAGAGAAGGACCTTTAATGGAGAAATGTCTTTGGACACCCACTATAGTTTGTCAGTTTGCAGATGCTAATGGAGCAGGCTTGGTGACTGAGGGGGAAAATGGAATATGAAAGCAAAATAAAACAGGCCTCTGAAGCAAGCATGTCATTTCTAAATGAAGGTTTCATGCAAAGGAATTGAGACTTTTCGCAGCTGAAAATGGAATTTTTAAATAAGATAAAATAAAATAAAAGGATGCTTTGGCTTGTTGCAGGTTCTGTAATGAAATACAGTTCTCCTAATACCGTGTGACCTGCATTTCTTCCTGTTTTATGGGTGCTATTCCTTGACGTACAAACCCGTATTTTCTCAAGTCAGCATTTGATGATGGATGTCAAAATACAGGCCATGTATTATGCATATAGCATTACCGATTTAAGGTGTTTACTTGTCAAGTTGAGGAAATTCAAAAACGTCACCTTCACTGAATCTGCACAGCTGTCACTTGCAGTTTTTCATGCTTTTGAATGAAAGTTCTGATGAAAACCGTTTAGTCTTCCCCTTCACTATTCTAGGGGAAGAAAACAGCTAGCATTTAAAATGCGTGTTTGTGCTTATGTGGTTGGCTGAAAAACACACATTCCAAAGTTTAGAAAGATGGACACTACACTGCCATTGAAAAATACTTACTCTGCACACAGTATGTCAATATAAAGAATAAAATTAAGTACATTCAAGCAATGAAAGGCAAATAAAACTTTTTTTTTCTTTTTGAGAGTAGGGTATTCAATAGTATGAAATTTATACACTGAAAAGCAGAAAATAAGCAAACGCTTTTTATATTTTTCTGGCGTTTTATGCATTATGCACTTCCAAAACAACAGGCAATTATTGAGCACCTGTCATTGCGTTTCTGAGAAAGCACACAGGCCATAATGCCAGATTCATCCCAGTCTTGTCACATTACTAGAGAGTAAGTGAGAAACCGGTTGCACTATGTGTGTGGACTTTTGTCCTTGGAAACTTAACAAGTGACTTTGTATCCCTAAGTCCGTAACTCATTGATAAGCCCACATAGCAGTCCATCAAGGGCAAAAAAGAGAAACCAAAGGGGATGTGTCTGTCTGTCTCTAAGACAAAGGAGCGACTGGGCCTCACAGCCAGCACTGAGATGATGCTGCCGCTTGCCATGTGCTTCACTTGGTTGAATTAATTTTTATTGTATGAATGTGTGAGGTAAATACATGTCTCATGTCTGTATATTTCTGTGCACATCCTGAAAGAGGCAGCCATTTAGCCTAGTGATGATGATCTCTCATCCTCTGCAACCTTGAAGTTATGGCTGGCTCAAATTAATTCTGATAAGTCTTTGGGATTTGGATCTGAGACCCGAAGAAGCCCAGATGCAAAACTCACAAACCAAATAGGCTGCTTTCCAACTTACCACACCCGTAGCTATGTTATGAGATTGGCTTCGGCACACTGGGACGTACAGGGGTCTGTGTGCGCAGGCTGCATGTGCATCAGTCAGGATGATTTTAGTCACAGATATTTTTTTTACAAACTAATTTTGGCTTACACAGAAAGAAAAGTATGTAAAAATGTAATTGTATGTGTATATATAATGTACATATGTATATAAAACCATGTTACCTCTGGATTTTTTCTGTAAGAAATTTTATATATATAAAATTTATCTATATAAGATGTATATAAAATATTATTATATACATATAATCTTATTTATATGTATATATAAAATATCATGTAGTAAGAATTCCTGGGATCAGTTGGTTTTGGTTCTAGGGCCAGTGAATTCAGGAACTCAAGCACTGTTCTTCTTGTTATTCAATCTTTCTATCATTCAGTTAGCCCAGTATCATTAAGATGACTTTGTCCTCAGCTGTTGCCCATTCCTGGTTATGAGATGGCTGCCATGGTTCCAGCAAAAAAGGAATGTCCAGTGTATTAAAAAAGAATCTTCCTGTGTGATTCTTTTTAAGAGCAAGGAAACACTTCCTAAAACCCCCCAAGGGATTCTATCCCACTTCCGTTTGGTCAGAACTGTGTCAAAAACCCAGGTAAGCCTTACTGGCAAGAGAATAAGCAATCGATGGGTTAAAGGTAATCACATAGGTTAGGTTATGCTATGATGATAACAACAACAACAAACCCAAATCTCAGGGTCATAAAGCAACACAGATTGCTTTTTCACTTACTCAGAATGCTTGTGGATCTGGGCTACTGTCCAGGGCTGCTGCCCATTCTTCTTCTTCACAGTGACCCATGTTCCCACAGTTGCCATAGTCTGGGACGACAGGTGGCAGGTCAAATGCTTGTACCAGAAGTGAGGATATGCATGGCTCTGTTCATGTTTCATGGGCTAGAACATTTCCTATGTTGCATGGACATATCTCACTTCAAAGGAGCAGTTAGGTATAATTCTCAGGTGTGCCTGAATGGAGAGGGGAACAAAAATATGTAAGATCAATAATTGTTATAGAGACTGGTTTTTAGAGAACTATCAAAGCGGGTTAGAATTATTTATAATAGTCTCCTACTTTGCTCTGTCAAAAAAAACAACTCATCAGAGTTTATCCTGGGAGTGCTAATTTTTGACCTGTAAATAATGCATGGGCTACATTTTTTTTGCATTGTATATACACCCTGAACTCTTGTTATTTCAAAATTGTTCACACCTCTGATTTTTCTCCCTTCTCTTTTTACTTCCCGCTAGGGTTCACACCTCCAGGAATGGACAGATCCTCTCCAGATAACAGCCCAGTGCATGGGATGTTACGTCAGCCATCCATCACGACTGGAGTCAACATCCCCATCATCACTGAATTAGGTAGGGATGAATGTGAGCTTTGGGCAAAAATTTGGTTCTCTTTTCCAACAATATTGGATATAAGAAGCTTGGCCTGTTTTTTAGCTCCTTCAGCATAGTAAACACTAATCGGGTGTGATTTGAAAGAGATTGAAGAAAGGTGTGCACAGAAATATCAGATTAGCAAAGGGAATACTGATCTAGTTTTCCTCTGAGATCAGTGGACAGTTCCCTTCATGCTGGTCACTGTTTTCAAGGAGTATGAGATGATGGATTCAAAATTGGGGCATAAGTTAGGGAAAGGGGGAGGAGGGGAGGAAAGGCATAGTCCACAGACTCCTGGTAATTTTCACCGAAGCACCTCTGGACAGCTTCTATAATCAGAACCCTCCACTGAGGTAAAAAGCTTCAGCTCCAAGCCAACCTCATTTTGAGAACTGGAGAGACACACTGAGCTAATGTGTCATAACTCTACATTTAATCTATCCTAAGAGAACTTCTCAGACAAAAGCCATTTTCAGTGAATGCCACTTGGGTCCAAAAAGAGTGATGGGGTTTTGAGGCCATGATTCTTGGCCAGTAGAATCCAGCTTTTCACCTGGCCATGGCACTCCCTGCTTCTACTTAAGAATTTGCAAAACTGCTGAGTGGTCTTTACCTCACTCCCCCAAGACGAATGTTACCTACCTGTGGTCCAGGTCTTGGGTGCCTTTACTTTAGGATGTTTCCTCTGTTATTCCCTCACTCTTTTCTTTTTCTGTACTTTCCTCCACTCCCTTTCCCCAACCCTTAAATGCTGTATCCAATTAGCTAAACCTGGCAAGTTGCCTTTGGTATCAGTCAATCAGGAAAAAAACAGTGGGACGCACATTCTAATGATAACTGAACTGGGTAAGAATCACTGTTTTCTTTCACATCAGTATCTCCTTTTGTTCTGTTGTTGGTGTTTCCAACTATCATCAGCTTGTTTTTTATTTCACCGGCTGTAACAGAACGGCTACCCCATGGCACTGCTTTGAATGTGTTTTATTTGTGGCTCTGGTTGGAATCGACTGTCTTGTTCTGGCCTTTCTTAATGATTTTTTTTCCCCCCACACAGCATCAGTAAACCTTTGATCACACCCATCTGACCTGGCAGTTGTTTTCAAAGCATCTTTTCTCTAATTCATTTTCTTTGGCCTGGGCCTTTTTTTTTTTCTTTTCCATGTGTCCCCCTGCTCTCTCCCGCCTTCTCCCTTATATTCCTCTTCCAACACACTGTCAGTTTGACTGACATGTCTTCACAGCTCTCAGAGGAAGTCAAAGGAGAAATATAAAAATTTTAAGATAAGAAACCTAAGACGGTACCTTCCCTCCAGCTGTTTATTTTCCTTTATTCTGACTTTATTTGCCTTTTTTTTTTTGTACTAGGCCCTTTCTCAGAAACCCTGGTTCTGAAGCCATAAAAGCAGTCAGATCCTAGGGGACCTTTTCTTTCCAAAGCCAGATTTCAGGAAGGGTGCCAAGGATGAAGTTAGCAGCCACTAGGGCATAGCCCTGCACGCTGACCTCCACCCTGCTGGCCCAGAGCCTTCTCGAGGAGACTTGGAGTGGACTCATCAGGAAGATGAAGGGCTCGGTCATGACTGCATTTGTCAAGCCCTTCCACGATTCCCCATAACTTGGTTAATAACTCCATGAAAGGCACCCATCAGCGGCAGGTCTCAGACCTGGGGATTGATCTTCTAAATTGAGACAGCGAAAGTGCTGCCTGGCGGAGGGGTGGATAGAGAGGTGGGGAGCACCTGCCTTCAAATGACTCACAAATGAAACTAACATGCCATTTCCTAGGCCCCAAAATATATTTCAAAATAAGAGAGCAGCTTTTAACACAGTAATCTTGCTTGCGAGGTGTCTAGAAACTAAGGAATAAATTGTCCACCACTCAGCACTGCATTATGGTAGACGTAGCTATTTATCAGGACAAATTCACTCAGGTCAAGGAGTATCACACTATTTTTTTTGTTTCCAGCAGGAGAGGAGGTATCTTTTTCATGTTTAGGGAAGTTGGCTAAAAGCCTGGGTTTCGGGACTGCTCTCTTCAGAACCTTAGTGTTGTAGGAGACTGAGGGAGCTCGTGCAGCCCAGACCTCTGGTTGAAAAATCCATTCTAATGTTTCCATCTCAGAAACCTTCAAAAGCATTTCAGAATCATCACTGTCAGGAATTTCTTTTTCTGTCTGGAATTTAGTGCAGCCAGTTATCCAAGATATATTGTTTAGTAGAAGAGAAAAGAAAAGTCTTGGTGCCCCAAATTGGAGGCAACGATTCAGGCATTTGATGAGCAGCCTCAAATCTCCTGAAGTTTCTATCCCTCGCCAGAGGGACATGTCTTCCATTATGGAGGATAATGTCTTCAATTTGCTCAGAGAACCTTCTGTGTTCCCATCGCCTTAACCTTCTGTCTTAAGCCCAATTTGTCTAGAGGTCAGACCATCTTTGGCAATCATACCATTGTCCTCTGGCTGTATCCCCTCTCTGCATCCCCACAAATACTTACTATTTACCTACTACATATTCTGAGATGTGTTCTGCATTACGCCAAGGAAATAAAATACCTTTTGAAAACCACAGAGGATGCTGAGGTTGAGCAGGTCTTTTAAACTGTGTAGTATATTCCAGTCTTCGTCTATTTGGAGACCATCAGTGGATGTCTGTGGGTCAAAGACCCTAGAAGTCCCACAAGAAGGAAAATCTTTAAGGCTGTTCAACCTGCCTGTTTCCCAGTTGTATTTGACTTCACACATATTGGGGTGATTTTTTCAGTCACCCCTTAGCACCCATATAATGACTGCTCTGTGAAGTAGGGTTAGAGTAACACTAGCTGCTCTCCTTCTGAGACTGGGTAACCCCAAACAGAACACAGGATCTTCCCTGAACCCTGGCTCCTGCCCTGGCGTTTTTTTCCCAATGGCTCAGATCCCTAGCTCACAGAAAATCTAGAGTCATTTCTCCTCACTTGGGGCTACTTCCCCTCAAAGTCTAGTACCAACCCTTCCTCATCATCTTGAAAAGGGGTAACAGATGCTTCTCATTTTAGAACGTCAATGCACAGGCCTTCCTTGTCTATTACAAATAATTAAAACCACATCCTCTACATGTTATCCTGGTTCACATTTTCTGATTCACAAAGCAGGAAGACTAAGCTGTGGCCCACAGCATACTTTTGGGAAAGTAGATAGAAGAGGGAAAAGATATGAACTGACCCTACTAGGATCCCCAAGGAAGGCTTTATGGGCTTCTGAGAGGGGTGGAAGGAAGCCGGGAATTTCTATGACATGGTGGGTGCACAGAATGTTTAATGTCAGAAAGATAATCCTGAGAGCAGCTAACATCAATGTACTGGGTGGGGCTCACCAAGCACAGTCTCATAGGAGTGTTCTGACAGCCTCCTGAGAGCTGCTATTATCTCTCTCATCTTACAGAGACAGAAACTAAGGTGTGCAGTGGTGAAGTGCTTTGCCCAAGGGAGTAGTGTCAGATCCTGCATTTTACACTTTTACCCACCAGCTGGTGATTCAGGTACTGTTGAGTCAGTGGGCTCCCAGATGTGATAAACTTTGGAAGAACAGAGCAAAGATTTCTCCCCTTTAGAATCTTTCTCTTGAGAAAGTGTCATTTAAAAATAATTCCATGTCTAGCTTTTAATCCTACTACCATTTATTCTGCCTCACATAGTAAACAAACAAAAGTTATCCAAAAAGTTACTTTTGGAAAAAATATTAAAGCAATAACTCTAGGAAAGAGAATCAGCTGCTGATACATTTAGAAAGGGATCAGAAAAGGGAATCTCATCTATTCTTTTTCTAAAAGCACGATAATTATTCCAGAAATCACGAGCGCTTATTATCATTTCCCCAGCCACACACTTCCCCCGCCTATTACTTGCTCTGCAAAACTGATCATTTCTGAAGCCAAGAACAGAATAGAAATTAATTTGTCATTTAATTTTTAATAAGTTAAAGACATCTCAGCGATACCGCCAGTCAATCTGCACATATGTGCCAGAAGAGTCATTGAGGAATTCTCAGGTGGAAATAAAACATGGTATCAAATGTAGCATCTGCTTAAGGTGGAGCATAGAAAAGACTGAGCTATTCAGAAGAGGAAAGGGAGAACGTGGGCATCCCCATGTGCCTTGGGATGCAGAGCAAGTCTTTGTCAGCAAACAGCTGGAGACAGCCTGGGAGACATCCCACATGGGGTCGTCTTTGTATTAACCAGGGCCTGTTGGGTGTGGGCCCAGATTTAGGGCTGGGGACCCCACCACTCCCCAGGCCGATCCCCAGGCAGGGTGTGGGCTGTGCCTGTGGGTGAATTCCTTGCTCTTTGCCTCTGCTGTGCTCCCAGTCAGTTGCTCTTCACTCTCAATAAATTGCTTCCTTTTTCTTGTGGCTAAACCAGCATGGCTAATCGGCTAATCGTGGCTACTCATCCTTGAAATACGTCCATCTCTCAAAGGACTTGGCTACCAAAAAAACACTTCAGGGTGTTTTTCAGGGTCATGATTCTAAAACTGTACCAAAGGACTGACCAGCACTGTCTCCTAGTCCTCCTGCAGCCTGCCATGGGGCAAGCCTGCTTGAAGTCATTGCTCTCCAGGCCTCGGAAACTTGAACAGTCACATAGGAGCAGTCCATTGAGTCCCACTGACCCCTGCCCCAGACCCATCTCTGGCTTCTCCCATGCTTTTCTCTCCTTTTCAGTGACTTCAGTGTTTCTAAACCACTAGCCTGCTCTTTTTCTCGCTTCGCTGCCTGTGTGTGGTATTTGAGCTAATTCTTATTTTACGCTTTTTCTAGTGAACGATACTAATGTTCAGTTTTTGGACCAAGACGATGACGATGACCCCGACACAGAACTGTACCTCACGCAGCCGTTTGCATGTGGGACAGCATTTGCCGTCAGCGTCCTGGACTCGCTCATGAGCGCGGTGAGTGGGTGTGGGATAGGGGAGTGGAGCCCCTCCACCCTCCCATGGGAGAGGCATGAGGCTGGAGCTTGAGCTACGGTGGAGAGCAAGACCTCGTAAAGGGGATACCGATGTGCATCAAACTAGCATGCAAATAAACGTTGGATTATAAATTCTTGAAGGTCCAAGGAAGCCTATGAATAAATATAGGTGAGCACTTGACCTGGTCTCCAGATTAGAGAGAGGTTCTATAAAGACATAATACACGTTTTATGTCAAAACGTGAGCAATAAGGAGGGGAGATTTTGTGGAGAAAAGCATCCCCTGAAGAAGGAAAGTGAATGCAAAGGCCTGTGGGGTGGAACCTGGCCATCTCAAGGCAGCTGGGGAAAGCCTGTGTGACTGGGCCTCAGTGAGAAAGGGAAAAGGGGAGATGAGGCAAGGCTGGACCTGCAAGACCTCAAGCACATTTTCATGGTTTGGGTCTTTTTCTTTAGAGCAACGAGGAGGCATCGAAAGGTTTTGAGCAGGAAAGTGCTCTGATCAGGTTCACGGTCTAGAAAGACTGCCTTGGCCGGGCTGTGGGGGATGGTTCAGGGGGAAAGACGACAGCCAGAAGTCTGAGTAAGAGGCTCTTGTTGCTCAGGGTAGGATAGAGCTGCACAGCGGGAAGGAGGTGGATGGATTTGTGTGGTGTTTGTCAATAAAATTGAAAGAACTTGGGAATAGGTTGTACGTGAGCCTAAGGTAAAAGGGAACAAGATGTCAAAGGTGAATCCTAGGTCACTGCCAGTCACTGAGACCTAAGTCTTGGGAGAGGACTAGGTATTAGGGCCTGGCCTTGCCTGTTCTTTGCTGCAGGGAAGGATTAGAGTGGTGGCCAAAGGATCAAAAGCATCTTTCATATCTTCTATAACTTGAAGTGCATTGCTTTGAAACTTTTGAGGCCAAAAACAAAGAACATTTAAAAAGTAGCTCCCAGTTTAATGGAGCCATCCCAAACTATCAAAGGCAAAAGCAGACACGAGAATGGATCATAACTCGGGGACTGTGACGTGTTCTCACTGAGTGTCTTTATGTATTATATAGAAAAGTCTCTTCATTTTGGAATTCTCAAGTTCACAACTTTTGAAAATACAGACATAGGCTGGATAAACACTGACCTTTGGAGAATCCTTGAAAAAGAGTTTTATTGACCACATTAAAATCATAAACATAGCTCGGATGGATTTATACACATACATTTCTTAAAGAGCTTCAGAAAGCCACTCTCCTGAACGTGTTAAACAATTAATATGCTAATTATGCATTATTCTCATCTATTCATTAAAGGAAATCCCAGAAGGCCATCTATTCGAGGAAAGAAAAAATGTAAAGCTTTTTAAGACTAATTTAGGTTAGTCCATATTCCTGAATGTTGTCCAACTGCAAGTATATCTTAGTTAAAAATCAGAATTATGGATTTAAAAATAATTAGGAAACAACATTCATCTTAATTAAGGCTGGCTGGGCTCCATGCCATACTATTTCTTCCCAAGCCAAGAAAGAAAGGAAATGGTCCCTAGGGAAGGGCTTTTTTGGTTTCTCGGGTCTTATGATCTTCCTGGTGGCCTGAGGATGCTGAGCCCAGCCTTTCTACCTGCCAGTGATGCAGGGCTCAGGTTGGGCAAACTCCTTAAGCAGGCTGAAAGAAGTAATAGAGGCTAGAGGATATGCTTGTTATACTACCATATTTTTTTTGAAATGGTCCTCAGAGTTTCCAAATTCAGTTTCCAACAGATTTCTGTAATTCATCTCTTTAAAAATTTCACTTCACTTCTGATCCTAGTCAGAGAGATTACAGAAGGCTCCTCTCACTAAGAGATCATTAAACTGTTTATAATACATTTTTCAGAATTGCAAATAACGTTATTAAATTTTTAAATTCAAATTTATAGAATTATTTATGTTTGCACATATCAGGCATTCAGTATATTCCAGGCAGGACCAGCTACATAATTTTTAAGGCCACTTTTTCATAAATTATGAAGAATTTCAAAATCGTGACAGCTGAGCATTAAACTGAGGGAGGGGCCCTTCTGAAAATGGGCCCTGGGCGACTGCACAGGCCATACACCCATGAAGCCAGCCCTGGTTCCAAGGAGTAAAACTGGTTTTGAGCACCAGAGAACGTCAGCTCTCTACAGCCAAGGGGGTACATGGTGGCCATGGGGTGACTGTTGGGGGGACACATCTGGATTTGAGTTGCACAGCTATCTGTCTACAGTAGCACTAGGAAGTCAGTTCTTGGAAACTCAGATGAGAAATCAAAATGAGTTGGTTTGAATTTTTTAAACCATCTCTAATATCCTTTGAAATGTAACTAAAGTGTTTGGGAGAATATGGCTAAGGTGTGTGTGGGTACCAGTCTTTGTGCAGGATTTCTTCTGAATCCCAGCCTGGAAGAAATAGGTGTCAGGAATCTAGTAACTGTCATTATGATTATCATCAGCGGCATCATTTGTTGAGGGCCTGGGACTGTTCGAAGCACTTCAGCTATAGTATCTTATCTTCTGGGCAGTAATGTGAATAAACTTAGTCTAAGTGTTGAAGCAAGACATATTTAACTGATCCACTGATAGTAACTTTTCAAATCTTCAACCAAAATGCCTATCCAATTATTCCAGGCCTTGTTATCATTGCCTAGAATGAACAAGTCACACAGTGAGGTCTTGAATTGGATCTGGTTCAACAGATCCAATAGGATCTACACCTTCGGATAAAATCTTACCTGTGATTTCTTTGCATTCCTCAACCCTAAATTTATTTAATAAAAAAGAAGGCAGGCAAGGATCAAAGCAGTAATTAGAAGGAACTAAAAGAGGGGGCAGAAATATAAATTGAAAAAGTGAGACTTCCCTGAGCAGCAGGAGCCAGCGGTGAGCTCCTATCTCAGGCCTTTGCTTACAAGTGACATCACAACATCCACACACACACAAACCCCTTTAGATGTTGATGATCTCCTTTTTCTAGCACTCTTCCCAGAACTGCCATTTAATCATGTGTCTAAACATTCCCTGAACATTGTCCTTTATAACTCAACTCCTGCTGCTTACTGCTTCATCTGTTCAAAGAATAATGTTTTGATTCATCACAGGCAATCCTGGAACAGATAGGGATGTTACCAGCGTGGCCTCATGGCTTTCTCTTGCAAATCAACAGCAGAAACACGTGACAAGAGGGAATAATTATGCTTATGGGTATATGCCTCTAAGAAGATCACAACTAAACAATGTGTTTTGCAGAATGCTAGCTTGCTGCTCTCTCTCTCTCTCTCTTTCATGCGTGCGTGCTCACACATGAAGATGAAAGGAAGCTTCTCTGTAGTTAGAGTAGAAACAGGCACCTGAGTATTCAGTTTCTTTTCCACACAACTATCACATCCCCCGACCCTCACCCTCAATTTAAGTTCCACTGGGACCCTCCCTAGAAAGAACAGTCATGGACTCAAGAACCAAACTGCTTAGATGCGGATCCCAGCATCACCATTTACTGCCTCTGTTACCTTAACCTCTCAGTGCCTCAGTGTTCTTATTTTTAAAATTGGGTGATGATATTGCCTATGTCATAGGATCTTTGAGATGACTAAATGAGTTAAGGCTGTAAAGTGATTAGCACAGAACTTAGGGCATGACAAGTTCTGTATGTACTTATTGTTATTTTGGGGGCACTTACTAAATGCCAAGCACTATTTTCCATGTTGGAGATTTGGCAGTGAAGAAGAAAGATGAAGACTCTCCTCATGTTGTTTGAACTTTCGTTCTAGTGGGCAGTAGCTAAGTGAGTGACAGTAACTATGTAAGCAGATGAGTACTATGAGGTAAGGATAGCTGATCTGAAACACATGAAACAGTGTGAATGGGTATGGAGAGCTGTCACAGCCAAAGTGATCAGAGTTGAGCTGTCTCAGGCCGTAACTTTGAAACTGACACCGAAAAATCAGAAGAAGAGATGAGGGTGACTAGCTTTCCCAGACAAAAGAAAGAGCGATGGCTGGAAAGCAGTGCTGAGCTGGGTTGTGTTTGTGTGAGGAAGTAGGTGAAGACCATTGTGGTAGGAACATGGTAGACATCGGAGAGCGGTATACAAGAAGCAGTCAAACAGTTAAGGCCATCAACCACACTGTGTATTCTGCGTTCAAAGACCACATCTGGTCAAGTTTTAAGTATGGGCTTAGACACTTCAGTCTTGGTTAGAGGATGCACCTTCTTTTGGATGCTGCCAGCATCCATATGATGCCACTGGAGAATGTGACCATCGGAAAATGGATGCACATGATTTCCTCTCTTGATTTTCCTTGCATTAAGGGCTAGACCCGTGCACTGTGTTATAGAGAAGTTCTCAGTTAGCCCATGCTAAAGCAGTGCCATGCGAAGTAAGGTACATAAACACATTACTCCACCATCCTGAGAGCAGAGCTGACATCGGCGTCAGAGTGGCGAACGGTACTATGGTCTGTCGGACTGAGAATATGCCACTGCTGTCACATCAGGCCAGGCAGGCCCGGGGTTGAAAAAAAAAATCAAACAGTTCTCATCCCTCATGAAAGAAAATACTAAAAATAAAAATCCACACCATGAAAACTAGGAAATATAAAAAATGGCAGCTATGACATGGAAAATGACAATTTTAGAGCAATTATAAACGAAAGGCAAAGTGCCATTAAAGTTAAGGCAATGTTATTAAAAGATGTGTTAATTTTCAGTTAAATTTTCTATAAAAGACCAATTAGTTTAAAAGGCTTGACAGCATTAACTGTGAAACATAAGCTCTGGTAATTATTCTTTAAAAAAATAAAAAGAGGAAGACGCTCCAGAGGTTGGAGACAACCGTGCAGAGGAGCGTCCCCAGGGCAGGCTAGATGGCGCTGCGGACTCAGATTTCCTGTTGCAATTAATTGGTCCTTCCTCCAGCATTTCTCGGTTTCTCAATGCCTGCTGTTCTGTCTACTTATAGGATATGAGAATCATCAAAATTCAGAG